ACCGCCCAGAGTCCGACTGGTAATGCGTCGTTGCGTCATCGTTTGCGTCATGACGTAACCGTTTGCGTGAACTGAACCATGAGTGTGGAGTAACGTTGTATCTTTCATTTAAATGAACTGTAACCTTCACCCAGGTATGTAACAGCTGTTCTCAAATGAACACGTGAAGTAAAGTTTAATATTTATAGTTTTATAGATTTATAATGAGTTATAATGAGAGGTGATCAACGTGAATGCTCAGGTTCCACCTTAACACGCAGACACGTTGCTTCACCATGAGCAGAAACCTTATATATACATATGAAACACCGTTGGTGTGAATGAGGTATCAGAGTAGGGTTTCTACCTAATGCTTTGCCAAGCTGATGGTGCACTGCGGCCCCCTTGAGGCTTAAGGCAGTATTGCATCAACTTCTGGGCATTAAAGTTGCTTAAATGCCAGTGTTTTAATACAATAATGTAAAACTCATTATCATGAACTCTGCTACTACTGTAACCAACTACTATATAAAAACAATTAAAGGTGGGGTAGGTACGTTTGAGAAACCGGCTCGAGATACACTTTTTGTTATATTCCATGGAATGCTCTTAACATCTTGATAGCAATGAATATCTTAAGTGCTTTGACAAAAATACATAAAAAAATGTCATCTGTGGAAGCCGTAATACTGTAAAAAGCACGACCAATCATCTGAGCCGGCCCGGCTAAAGTAACTGGATGGCCTACCTGCCTGTCAGCCTTCCATCTGTGCACAAACTTATCTCGTGCCCTCATTGGTCATGTGCGCGTTCGTGTGTGTTGGAGGAGGGGCTCTGTAAGGAAGTGGCAGGTTTGTTCCGGCTGTGTATTTTCAAATTCTAGCGCACTCGAGCTGGTTTCTCCAAAATTACCTACCCCACCTTTAAAACATGTCAAAGCAAAGTCAGTAACAATCATCAAGAGCTTTAAGGCTTTATCTGGTACTTCCATCATTCAATCACTCACTCTTTATGGTTTGTCTCTCTGATATAGATTTTGTGAGGCCGAGCCCTCAGTCACAGCTCCCTGAGAGAGACGGTGAAGAACTACGATGAATATGTGTCCTCAAACACAACCATGACCGAAACAGGCCCATGATGGAAACAAGAGAAACCACTGGAAAGATGGGGGAGCTAGAGCACCGCCATATTTTCTTGGAAGACACACTGTGGCTGTATTTCATGGACTCTTGGTCACATTGGACTGTTGTGATGAGCTATTAAAACTGCAATATGTTATTTAAACTGTCAGTACTAAGTGTGTTTATTTACATATTGAACTGACGACTCTCTAATAAAATAACAACTAGGTGGAACTTGTGCTGCTCTAAGCTCCAAAAAGAAATATTTGGAAAAACTCGAGAGCAGTGCCTTTTTATCAGAAAACACGACATGTCTTGTGAGCGGATTAATGGAGGAACTATTTTCTTTCAACCTAACTTCACCCATCAACGATTGAGCACCAGCTTCTCGTCTATGAGTCGCTGCACGCAGGCCCGCCTTAACCTGCCATCAGGCCCTGGGGCTGATAGGTTTTGTAGGCCCCCTATTTAAACAACAAATCAAAGTCATTTATAGCCTCGGCAGGCTCTGTGATCGCACTTCTCCACTCTGCTCTACGCGCGCCTGGTCCTCTCCTCCAGATGAGAGACGTATCGGACATCCCTCGTGTATTTGTCTGGTTGCCGTTGGCTCCCCTCCACGTAGCAAGTCCTCGTCGTCCTCTCCATCTCCTCCAACATCCCTCCTGTCTGTTTTTCCTCTCCCGCTACTCCAGCTACTCCATCGCTATCAGAACCAGACGGCCTACTTGGCTCTGAGGCCCCACGGCCGGCACCGCTACTGCTCGGTACAGAACTCATCTGTCCTCCTTCCTCCTCATCCTGGCCTACAGGTTTAAAACAACCTGTAAGCTTCGGCATTTTTTGTAATAGCTGCTTGTCTCGAAACTCCTTTTCCCTCAACAATTTCCTTTCCCGAGCGCCACTCTCAAACTTTTTCTTCTCAAACTTTTTCTCCTAAACAACCTTCATCTGTAACTCAATCACTCGCAATTTGAATAAGTCACATGTGAAACATATTCTCATTCTGATTCGCTATGAAGTAGTGCCCATTGACTGTTACGGAGTCATCATTTTTGAGAAAAATCTCTGGAATCCATCGATCTGATTGATTAGCGGAGCAAATGATCAAAATACTACGGAGGGAAGATATTTTCGTTTGGATTACTGGTCTGGGGGAAGCTCACGTGTGTGTGTGTGTGTGTGTGTGTGTGTGTGTGTGTGTGTGTGGTGTGTGTGTGTGTGTGTGTGTGTGTGTGTGTGTGTGTGTGTGTGTATACGTGTGTGTTTGTGTATTTTTGCGTTTGTGTGTATTGTGTTTGTTTCCTGGGGAAAACACTCACGAGAAACACCGGCTGTTGTTATGCCTGCTGTGACGTCAAGTTACTCCGTTCTCCGCTTGTAATTATGCCGTTACAAGCTTCAACGTTGTATTTATCATCTGAATTTGCCGAAACAAGTTTAATATTCTGAAAGCCAAGACTTTGTTTATTTGAAACCAGATGAAAACAAACTGTAACGGACCCTGCCGTGTTATCTATGATTACTATACGCTTACATTCATAATTTCAGCCGGAGGGAGGGGGAGTGAGAGCTGTCATCTTCCCTTTACAAGCTTCAAAAATGTATTTATCGTGTGATTTTGGAAATAAAAGTTTCATATTCTGAAAGCCAAGACTTTGTTTATTTAAATGTTTTTTTAAAAACATCCGAAATAAAAAACTTTTTTTTTTTTAATTTAAATTTTTTTTAAAACTTTTTTATTGGCTCATGATAGGCCCCTGATCTCCGTAGGCCCATGGGCTTCAGCCCAGGTCAGCCCGTGCATTAAGGCGGCCCTGGCTGCACGCTTCTTTCATCACATTGGCACGTGTAATTTGGCAAAAAGAAAATAGTTCCTACAACAAACTGCTCACAACAATGTCTGTGTCTCGATTTCTGGAACGAGACATTGTGTTGGTGAGTTTTATTAAAATGTGTTTCATTGGGGCTTTGAGCAGTTGCGTGGCGTGGGAAAAAAATTAGGGGAAGCCAATAATATGTCCTTTCTTTTGGGTCGGGGGTGTGGTGGTCAATGTAATAACGTAACCAGATGAGTGATTACAGCACCCGGTATCATTTTACACACATTTGTATCATACAGATGCAGGACTTACACACGCCTGTTATCTAACCGACAGGTCCGCACGCACTCTCCAGCCCAAACTCTAATAAGCATTCATTCACAAACTAAATCAGGAGACCTTTAACGTTTTACGTCCGATTCGCTCCTTTTTTCCTCGCTGTACACAGCTCCAGTTTGGGCATCGGCCTGTCATCAGATTTTATTTGGTGTTGCTGCTGTAGCGGAAGTTTAGTACAATTATTTTTGATTAAATACTCCACATCTCCACCCTCCATAATTGCACTTGCTTCAGTTGCTTGCTACTTTCTAACGGCGGTGAGAGTGGTGCAGTGACGCTATCTATCTTCTATCGATTAGATTTATGATTCGAAAATTATAAAAGTAGGGTAGACATGTGGATATTATCCGACTGAACAAAACGTGCATTTATCTAACAGGTTGGTTTTCCACTGACCTTATTTCGAGCTATTTTCCAAAATCCTATGGAGAAATCCCATTGCTTTTTTGTGGAGGGAAACCGAGCGCAGCTTACTTCCGGATTTTAGGATGCGTCACTGCAACACTAAGTTGATGCGATTTGATTGGATTGTGAGGCAAGGGAAGCCAGCCGCCTCTGGCTTCCCTTGGCATGGCCCTGACTAATCACAGGTTGGCAGGGGCATCACGTGAGCCTTGTCTGATTGGTCAATCCCTCCATTTTTTTTTCACCAAGGGAAGCCAATTTCGGCTGGCCTCCTCTCGCAACAGTGAGTGCAATCTACTGTTTCACCATAACATCTAGAGGGGCGCTGTTTCACTATTTGTAAAATACTCAATGAGAATGGGGGAGAGATGAGCCGGCAGCAACACACAACAAAGAATTTCCGAAACTAAACGAAGTGTTTTTATTTATAAAAATGATATAACTACAATCCGAAAAAACAGGGGAAGCCTGGCTTCCCTTGGCCTCCAGGAGAAAACACCACTGGCTTTGAGCACAACGAACTGAGTGCTGGAAAGTTTGTTTATATTCAAGAGAAGGCAGACTTACCTCTCCTGCGATAGCTCTATAAACAGAAACTCACATCAAAACAATTTAGATAAAAAAAATGGCATTAAAAGTAAAAGAAGTATTTTTTAATTTTTGTGTGAACCGTCCCTTTAGGAAGATACAACTGGTTTGGATGATGTAAATTATAACGTGTGTTTAACACAAACTACCGTGACCTAATATTTGTTGTACTGTTGTCATAATTATTTTCCTACGGCTCTCAAATCTGCTACAGAAAAGTCATGAATCAGCACATTTGTGAGCACATCACTCTGTGAGATATGAAGCTCAGCGCAAGTTCAACCAGGAAGACCTTCTTTACTCATTCACTATGCTATGTTACTACTCTCTCTCCTCTCAATAAGTGATCGGGGGCGTCACTCTCCAGGTTAACCAATCACTTCGCTCTATTCTCACAAGCCTATCATAGCGCTCCGCTAAACCTTTTAAATCTGCTCTCCCCCCTCTGAGAGCTGTCATTTCAGGTGACTCGACGCACCCCTTTTCACCTCCTGTCCCTCTGAATCCAGGGTGAAGCTAAGCCCCTCCCCTTCAGACCGAACCCAACTATCCATTCACCACCACCAGTGTCTCTAGACCCCGGGGGGTTTAATCGGATCGGTTCTCCCCTCCCGAATGATACTCCTGCACAACGGGGCCTAATCGTCAAAACTTCATTACATTAATTTGTGTATTCCTAGCAATAAATAGCCTATGTATTCTTACATCAAAACCGTCTCTCCTGATTGAAACAAAATCAGAAACCTTTGAGTTATAAATTGTTCATAAAGTTGGCAGCAGAGAGTGCTGATCCGCTTTAAAAGGAGTTTATTGTTTAAAAAAAAAGGTGCAAACCTTGTCCAGCAGACTGTGCCCTATCTACATTGTATATGAGGTTCATATTTAATAGAAAAGCAGCATGAACACCTGGGTTGATATCCCGAACAGGTGATCAGCATTTGACGGTAATATTTCTACATGATGAACTGTGATTGTGTCTTCATGGTGCAGAATTGGAAGCTTCCAGAAATGGCACTCAACTCGTGAACTGAACATCGGTCCCAATCATCACGTAGTCCTAGAGAGAAATAAACCAAAATTAAGAACAGCTTAAAAATCAAATAATTCAGTTGATTGTCTGGATATTTAAGATGTTTTCTTCCGAGTTATTGGCCCTCGTAAAAATCCATGTCATATAATAAATACAGCTTTATAGGAAACAGTCTGACCTTCAGGACCAGCAGCTGAGTGTTCACCAGCTTCATCTTTCCAAGTGTCGGAAGAGGGTATCCCTTTGCAAGTTGAACTATGAAGCAAAATGCAGACATTTAGAAAAACTAGTCCCAAAAATCTAATGTGGGAAACGTGGTCATGATATAATAGCAAAAGTGTTATATTAGGTTTTAAGTGTATAGGACATTTCATGCATTAAATGCAGATTAAATTGCTTAAAAAATAAAAAATGCAACACATAAGATTTAACTGAAAAATGTAAGGGGACAAATTATGACTTTAAAACTGGTTCAATATCATTTATATGAAAATGCACACTAGCAATATGCAACACGATTAAATAAATATGAAAAAGTTTGCCTTTCTGTCTTTTATGGAATCCCATAGGGGCCTCTTTTTTTTGGATAATGTAAAATGAAACCTCACTCTACATCTTACATTTCCCATGTATTTATGTGTATTTTAAATATTTATAATTAATTTTTTATTATTTGAGTATGATTTACTATTCCTGAAATAGTTATGTAAGTCGCAATTTAAAATAAAATGCAATTTTCTGTCGATTTTCAAATGAAAATGGCATTTTAATTTAGTTTCTGAAGACTTAACCTGCAGTACAGTGGACAATATTAAAATGCAAAAAAGTGTCACAGTCTGTTGCGTTCACATTTCAATCTGTCAGTCTTCTCATCAAGTCGAGTCTCTGTATTTCATATAGAGTACAAAGTGATAATGCAAGATCTCACCATTCATTCTAGGTATCACCACCATTTTGAGGACCATTTGGAAGATGCTGTCGAGCGAACCGACCTGCAGGTTAGTGTTAGGGTTCGTTAGTTATGTCGGTACTGAATGTGCACACTGTGACTTGTGTTAGAATGAGTTCTCACCTGAAAGTCTCCGACATAGCTCGTCCCCAGGGTCAGATCCATTCTGTGCAAATGAGGCAAATTAAACGGTCATGCTCGTCTTCACAAAGACCTTTTGGCCCCTTTTTTTATTTTTAGTTACTCACTTGTTTAGGGTGACAGCTCCGGCCAACCTCGTTCCACTGACAAACACTCGGGCGCTGACACTGGAGTCCTGTAAGACAATATAGTGAGACAGTTCCCAACGTAGAACCAAACAAATGGCTTTTTATTTATCACACCAGCTGTGTAACCTACCAAGTTCAGGACAAAGAGAGGCGTAAGTGTGGCGTTGGGTTGGATAGCGTAAGCTGTCACTGAGGCAAAGCTCTGAACTGTTGCGTTGTTGGGTTCAAACGTGATGACGGGAGTTTTCACCGTCTTCACCAGCAGTTTCATCATCAGACCTGGGAAACGCTTAGCAACCTGAAAAGCAAATATATAGCTGACAAATATTTGTGGAGGAAACTTCTGTGTAGCAATGCAGTGGGAGTCACCGACTCATGAAGGAGACACGGGACGAGCAGGAGTTCTGATGTCAAACACTGATATTTAATACAAGCATCGGCCGGAGAAATTCACATCACAAGTCACACAGTCAAAGGTTCTGACTGCACGGGTGGTTTGCCATGTCAAATCTGATCAGCCTCGCATCTTGGTAGACCTTTTAACTAGTTTACAGAGAGTCAAATCCACATATTGGGGATGGGCGTAAACACATCTGCAGACACAGGAGATGTCTCTCACGTCTCTGGAGCTTAGAAAACCCCCCTTGTGCCTACTGGTGTCAGGCCATAAACCCTAGTATCAACATATGACTGCATTAACACATTCCTTACGGGAGATTAGAAGCAGGGATGGTTGTAAATGTCAACACACAAAATAAGGTTAAATGTCTAGGAGTAAAGACAAAATTAATCCCTAACAAATCCCTAATAGACTGGTGCAGAAATTAGCCCTAAAACCCGGAAAACTCGTCTTTACTTTAAAACATTTTTGAATGGTTAGATGCCTGAAATAAGGTCTGTTGTAAACATAAGCTTAAGAGATTTTTAAGTTTTATTCTTTGACATAAATAAGGTCAGTAAATAACCCACTTGTGAATGTCAGAAGTTCCTTTGTGTCTTATAAACAACGGTTGCTAACAAGTGTCTAAAAGAGACTACTGAACGTCATCACGCAGAACATTAGGCGCTTTTAGCTTAAGCCCCTGTCACACTGTCCCGAAATTGACACCCGATGGACACACGATAAAGGAAATGTTCAAATTCGGCTGTGATCGTAGCAACATCGGGCCATTCGTGAGGGCATCTAAGCCATCGTATGACCGCCGGTGGAGTTTCTCAGGCTCCGGCAGCAACTTCGTGAGCGGCAACTTCGTAAGGCACTCATGAGGGCATCTTGTCAAGTCGTGTCATCTTCGTGTTATCATCGGTGCATTCGCCCTCACTCTGATCGGGGCGAATGCCCGATGGCACGATGATAACAACAACGAAGGGCAAAATTGACACACGAATTCAACACGAAAATGAACCTTCGCAAGGTCCTTTGGCAATTTTTTGACATGCCAAAGATTTTGCCACCGCTCACGAAGTTGCTGCCGGAGCCTGAGAAACTCCACCGGCGGTCATACGAAGGCTTAAGATGCCCTCACGAATGGCCCGATGTTGCTACGATCACAGCCGAATTTGAACATTTCCTTTATCGTGTATTTTATTGCACAACAAAATCATGTAAACATATTATGTAAATAACCCAATTTGTGTTCTGTGAAACTAAAAAGGATATAATATATTATTTTGCAGGACAGTTGACAGGAAGTTGTTGTTGTTATGGAAACAACATTACGGAGAAAAGGTAATATTTTCTACATATAACGACGGATAAAGTAAAGAACAAAGTCTGAAAATATCAGTACAGTATCATAGTACTGTAACATAATTGTTTGTGTTACTTTCGTTGCAGTTGTATATCTTAAATGTAATGTAAATGTTGCCTTCGTGTGTGGTTCGGGGCCATCTTCGTGCGAAATTCACAATTCCATATTCGTGTGTCCATCGGGTGTCAATTTCGGGACAGTGTGACAGGGGCTTTAGCGGTGGTGATCTGCAGCAATGTACCTATGATGTAGCCTAACAATAGCTTTTAGCTTCCGGTGATTTCAATTATGCTTCAATCATAATAATGTAGATATTATCGTGCTGAACAAAACATGTTAGTATTATAAAGGTGTGTTTGCCACATATAAAATGTTCTGCAATACACTGAAATCCAATGGAAAAATCTCATTGCTTTTTGGCGAGGGGAGTCCTTGCGATGCTAACTTCTGCGTCGGCCTACACAAATACGTCATCCCTGCACCAATCTATAAAGACAATGCTTTGTATCAAATGAGTAGAATCTGTTTTCACCTGCGGGATGAAAACTCCAAACGCTCTGGTGTTGAGTCGGATGGGAAAGCCTTGTGGGATCTGTTGAGAGTCAGAAAGGTTGAATATCATTGTGACGTCATGTAAGAACATTGATGAGTGAATCAGGAGGATTCAGCTCACCATGTCATCAGTGATGTACAGGCTGAGGGCTCCAGCTGTGTTGTAGACGAAGGCCGCAGATTCGATGGTGAAGGAGGAAACGCCGATGTACAACATGTTGTTGATCTGGGGCGGCAGGGAAAAGACTGCGGGGGAAAAGGGAGGCTCCTGATGCTTCCCGATGTTGTAGAATTCACCCTAAAAGACAAAGAAACAGCAGAAACAGAACATTTGCAACGTAACCATGACTGTCTATTTCTTAATAACCAAGCTGCAGAGGTGGGAAGTAGTGGAGTACAAATACTTTCTTTCTGTACTTAAGTACATTTTTCTGGTATCAGTACTTTACTCCACTACTTATTTTTCTGACGACTTTTTACTTTTACTTCTTACATGTTGAACCCAAATACCTTTACTTTCTACTTCTTACATGTTGAACCCAAATACCTGTACTTCTCACATTTTCCAAACAGCTGGTTCCTTTAGTCTGAATGTGTGTTTGGTGGCGTGATCATTATTATTTAGAGTCATTGCGTGCCTATTGATTTGAACACGATCCGTGTATCCATAATTTCCTGGTCTTCTCTAAAGAAGAGGGACCAATGAAAACATTGTCATGTTGCCATTGTTCAGCATGGAAACATTCATTCTTTTTTGGACCCCAACCAACAGTCTCCCCGGTTGATATTCTGGGCTCCCTCAATAAAAATATCTTCCCCTCTGTCATGAACCTTGGAGTGACCTTTAACAGCGCCTTTACATTTGATAAGCAGGTTAGCACTGTAGTCAAGACCTGCTTTTTCAAAACACGACTATTGGCTAAGATCAAGTCGTTTTTATCTTTTAAAGACCTAGAAAGGGTTATTAACGCCTTTGTTACCTCGAGACTGGATTACTGCAACGCTCTGTATGTGGGTATGGACCAGGCCTCAATTAGACGCCTCCAGCTAGTTCAGAATGCAGCTGCACGTCTTCTCACTGGCCATAAAAAGCGCGACCATATCACCCCAATTCTGGCTTCATTGCACTGGCTTCCAGTTCGGTTCAGAATAGATTTTAAACTCCTTTTATTTGTTTTTAAAGCCCTAAATGGGCTGGCTCCTGCCTATATAGCTGAACTCCTCCATCGCTACACCCCAGGCAGAGCCTTAAGGTCGGCTGATCAGCTGCTGTTGATAGTGCCTAAGACCAGGCTTAAAACCTGAGGGCATCGAGCTTTTGCAGCGGCTGGCCCTAGGCTCTGGAATACTTTGCCCCTCCATGTGAGGTCGGCCCAGACCCTGGGGTTTTTTAAATCAACACTTAAAACTCACTTTTTCTCTTTGGCTTTTGTTTAATTATCTATTTATTCATTTAGTTATTTATTTATTTAGTTCTTTATTTTAATATTTATAACATAACATAGGATTTCATAAAGTATTTTTTAAATAGTTTATACATTATTTGAATATAGGAATAGTAGATAGGATTACTTAAAATATAGTACCTTATATTTAATCTTTTTTCCCTTTAGACCAGGGATGGGTAAATGGCGGCCCGCATGCGGCCCCCACCTCCTCTTTTTGCGGCCCTCAGATTAATTTATAAACAACGTAATTAATTCAAAAAAAATTCAAAAAAATATATTTTTTTTACTTGTAGTACTGATACCGTCCACTAGACTCCTAGTTACGTCGCGAGCTGCGTAGATGATTTCAAATACCACGAAATAATCTGTGACGCATTTGTGTGTATTGTGTTTGTTTCCCGGGGAAACCCTCACAAGAAACACCGGCTGTTGTTATGCCTGCTGTGACGTTAAGTTGCCGCTTGTAATTATGCCTTTACAAGCTTAAAAGTTGTTTTTATCATCTGAATTTGGCTAAACAAGTTTAATATTCTTAAAACCAAGACTTTGTTTATTTGAAATCAGATGAAAACAAACTGTCACGGACCCTGCCGTGTTATATGATTACTACGCTTTTCATTCATAATTTCAGCGGGAGGGAGGGGGTGCGGCGCTGAGGAACAGCAGAGTGCGGGCGTGTTGACATTCCCCTTATTGTGGAATAAGGGGAATGCAGAGACTGGCTACAAGTGTTTTAGGTTCAAGTTAGACAACTAATGTCTGGGTTAGTGTTCATTACTTCATCTTTATGTCATCTAATGGTTAATCTCAATACACACACATTTTCCGTGCTTTCCAATAGTTTAAAATAGTTTTATTCCACTGTTTAATAACCTGTTCAATACAAACATGCCACTTGTAAAAATGAAATCCAATTTCTGTGAACTGATATTTGTTTATTGAGCTTATTAGAGGATGTTCCCATTTTTTGAGGATGTTCCCTTTGATTGTAAAATCTCAATGAAGATGTCAGACTTAGTATATTTGTTAATAATTACATACAACACATGGAATTTTTGTGTGTGTGTGTTCCAAGCAGAGGTCGCGTTAACCGAATATTTTCCGTCCATGACGGGTTTTTTTTAACAATGACGTAAAAATCTGAAAGCAGTCCGTCATTTTGACAGATTAGAACAAACTCGGAACAGCGCCAAAGTTTCCCCGCAGCGAGGCTCCGGTGTTATGCCATGTTATGCATGCCCTCCAAAAAGGAAATTATACCGTTTCCAAACCTAACTGTGCCGTACAAATCATTGAAATGTCTGAGTTTTCGCTTTACGTTGTGCACGCTCCCGCGAGGTGCAGCGGCCATGCATAACACGGCGCATGTGAACTGTCCGTCCCTCCCCCCCGTTGTCAGTTCACGAGCATGCTTCCCCCCCCCCCCTCGTCAGAGTTGTGTAAATGCCGACGGGTAATTCTGGATTTTGACGGAAGTTTTACGATCCTGTCCGTCAAAATGACGGGCAGCGAAAAAGTCTAGCGCAACCTCTGGTTCCAAGTGAATCTGCGGCCCCCTGGTGGCCAGTACATCAATGATGTGGCCCCCACCACCATCAAAGTTGCCCATCCCTGCTTTAGACCCTTGCGGTTTATTCTCAAAAACCCTTACCCTTACCCACCCCCCATTTCCCCTCTGCTGGTCTATGGCCTTGTAGAGGGTAACAGGGTACAGAGTCGCTTAGATAAGCGGGGGAGTGCATCTGACGAAGAGATAGGTTGTTGTGCTCCCTATCTCTGTTTCTTATCTATATCTAATAGAACTGCTCGGGTCTTGATAGATTGAGTGGGGAAGTTCATGAGATCTTTCTAGAGGGTTATCAAGAATAACTTTTATCCAATGACCTTTTCCCTCTCTGTCTGTGTCTGTGTATTCTCTTGTTCCGATTAACCCAGCCAAATCTTTTTTCTTGTTTTGTATCTATATCTACGCCGGGATCCGGAGTCGAGGCTGATCCTCTTGCTGTAGTCCTGTGTCTTGGATCCTCTATCCTGAGTTCTGGATTAAGTCGTGGACTTCGGGTCGTGGCTGAACCTGTCTCTGCGGTCCTGCCTTGGGTCTCGTCATGCTGCTTCCCTGATGGCTTCCACAGGATTGTAGCTGACATCCTCGTGGATTCATCTTCTTATTACAGACACATGCATTTCCTAACATTCGGTCTATATGCTGTAAAACGTATTATCTCTTCGATTTACACACGGCATCTATTGCACGTCTGTCCGTCCTGGGAGAGGGATCCCTCCTCTGTTGCTCTCCCTGAGGTTTCTCCCATTTTCCCTTTAAACTGTGGGTTTTCTCTGGAAGTTTTTCCTTGTACGATGTGAGGGTCTAAGGACAGAGGGTGTCGTTTTTCTCATACTGATATTCTGAACAATCTGTGCTGTTGTATTTGCTGTAAAGTGTCTCTACTGTAGGCTATTTTTATTATATGTACAGCACTTTGGCTCGACCAAAAATCGTTTATAAATGTGCTATATAAATAAAACTTGATTTGATTGATTTGATTAGCTAACAATGACATTATTGTTCTATTAATATAAAGGGAGGTCAGGTACTCTTTAAAACAGCTGCTAGTTATGGGTACTTTTTACTTGAGTACATTTCAAAGCCCATACTTCTTTACTTTTACTTGAGTAAAGAAGTTTAGTCAGTACTTCTACTATCTAGTATTTTTAAACACGAGTATCTGTACTTCTACTTGAGTAAAGTATATGTGTACTGTTGCCATCTCTGCCAAGCTGAGGCTCCAGTACAGAAGCCTTAATAATCAAACGAGCAAACAAAAGCATCGGGATGGTTTCTCACCTTCAAGCCAAAGTCTATGGAGGTTTTTGACACTGCAGGCGATGCCACCATGGAATATTCAATCTCTGCAAACTTGTCCACCTTGGCTAGAACTGCAATAACACAGAAAGTCTCTCACATATTCAGCATCAATGAAACATACAAATATTTGACATGAAGATAATGTTTTACCATTGAGAGTTTTCAAATTGTTGTTCAAATCAGATACTGCATTGGCCACCAGAGGGCAGATCTGCAACAAACAATTCCAAAACACAATACATTTGCACAGTGATTTATGAATGGAGAACATATTCTTAAAATAACCCAACATGGATAAAGAGCAGTTTGGAAACCAACTACTAGTGTCTGTACCAGCAGTCCTCACCTGTTTCTGCATTGCTTTTCGTATCGCACTATCAATGTATTTACTGAAGAGATTGTACAACCAACTGAAATGAAAAACAGGAAATATGGCAGCACGAAAATAAAATAAAATGGTATTCTTTCAAATTGGTTCAAATGTTGTTTCTATTTTTTTTCTTACCTGGCTCCACCCTTAAAATGGATGCTTGTCTTGCCAACATTGGCTCCACAGTCGAGACTATTGACCGCAGGTCGGCCTGTCTGGTCAGTCTTGATGGAGAGACTTGTACTGATACTGATATCATTGGCGTTCAAATTAAAAGAGCCGCTGTCCTTTCTGTTGAGAGAGGGGTGGGATTAGGGTTAGGGGTTTGAATGTCCCCAAATATTTAACTTTAAAGGTCCTCTATTATACTATTTTTCATCCATATATTATAGGTCTAAGATATATACAAAACATGTCTCTGAAGTGTTTGGCTCCAAATACCAAACAGATCATTGCAGCATTACCCATAATCCCCTCTGTTTCAGCCCTGTTTCAAAAGTGCTGATTCTCTGTCTGTCACTTTAGATGAAAATAACATGCACAACATGTTATTTTTTGTGTTGATGTATCAAAGACATGAAAAAGTGGACTTTGCATAATAGGTGACCTTTAAGGAAGAAATCTGTTCTCACTTACACAAAGAGGTACTTGACCCGCCAGTTTCCTTCCAAACGGAAGTAAGTGTTGACAATGGACAGTTTGACACCGGTCCCTGGCACCAGATCCAGCGCAGCCGTTGGCAATCCCACATCCACCATTTTCATGCTGATAAAGACAACATGAAAGTTCATTTTCAGTTCCATATTTGTATTTTGTGTCTCTACTTTGACATGTTTACATGCTTTAATGTTCAAAAAGCTCTTTATTGTTCTCATACTGTCTGTGCTGCAGTACCTCTTTTTTACCCTCTGTCTGAAACCAGAGCCCAGTCTGCTCTGATTGGTTGGCTGGCCGGCTCTGTTGTGATTGGTCAACTGCTTAGAGATGTCCTGCCCCTTAGCCAATATTACAATGTGTTGGAGCTCTAGCTAATAGAAGAAGCGCGAGTGCTACAGAGTGATGTCACTGTGGGGGAAACTTCTGAAGCAATGGAGGAGTCAGGACTCAAAGAGACACGTGGAGAGCTGGAGCTTTGATGGCAGACACACTGATGGTTTATTTGGAGTTACGGCCGGAGAACTGACAAGACATGTCACGGGTCACGGTTTGACCACACGGTTGAGATGCCACATCAATTCTGAAGAACTCTTCTGCGGCTCGAGGTTTTAACTAGTTCAGAGTGTAATAATCAACATTCTTCATCAGTGAGACTAAAGCAATATGGACCCTGAATCTAGAGCTGTCGTCCATAGAAAAGAATGGGCGCCAGGGAACCTTCGTCCCTGAACAGTAAACTATCTCATGGCGGCTTGTGCTCTGTCTCAACAACAATGCGCCCAAGCTGCTCCTCCTTAAGAGAGATAGCAGCAATACCCAAGGCTGTAGACCTATGCCATGGGAAAGGAGACAGTGAGAAGAGAAAATTATGAACTGTGTCAAAGTTTGAATACCTTAGCAAATTATTCCCCAACAGTCACTATGTTACAGAAGTACACAAAGGAGTCCAGTTCAGACAGGGGGGGAAGTGTGAGTGAGAAAACTCGCTCAAACTCTTCGGACTTTAGCCTTTGCAGACCATTTACATGCACACAAACCTATATAGCACATTACAGAAAAGGGGAAACCCCACAAATCGTCTTTAAGTATCCACTTTCAGGACTGACGGTGATGAATGCACTGCTTTCTTACTTTGTCAGGCTGTACTTGACCTTGCCGATGGGAGACACCTTCACTTTCCCTGACATATCATCAAGTTTGATGGTTTTGAGTTTCTGCAAGATCGAAGCCACTGCCAGTTGTCTGCCTAGGGAAATCAAGGGAAATTGATGATTACATCTCGGGAGAAATCAGCGATTTAAAACTAAAAGTACAAACCTTACCATATTCAATGCCTTTAGCTGTTAGCTTGACCTTTACTCCAGGGTTGGTGCTTGTGGTCAAAGGGATTAAAGCCACCAGAGATAGGCACCAGCACAGAAACATCTTGACTGTTGGGAGGAAAAAGGACAGGATCATCAGCACAACTTTTATTTATTTGTTCTCAAGATATGTTGACATGTTTATTTGTTCTGCAAATGATGTTTGGGAATCAACCAATCAAGGCTTCCTCTTCTAGATTAATGCTTTGTCTATTTGATACTCGTTTCCTATTTATTGTTATATAATCCATAACCATCATAACTTTAGACATCAGTGGCTTCCCCTTTAGGCACATTCACTTCTGTTTTGTCCACTGGTCAAGTCAAGTCAAATTGGATGGATGAAGTACTCAGATTATTTACTTCAATATATACAGTATACCGGTACATTTAAGTAAACTTGTAGACTTTGTTACAAGTGAATGAAAACAAAATAAAAGTTACAAATAAAGTAGTACTACAAAATAAAAGTAATTCTGCAATGGGTCGTTTCTTTAACTGAAATTTGAGCCCAACAAGACCATTATTTTAGTAGTCCCAATATATCACGTTTTGAAACTACTGGTTAATAATATATTGCTTTCTGTAATGCTTTTAAACACAAAATCTTAATTTGAAAAGAAACGCCGCTACATATAATCATAGTGGTGTAAAAATGAAACTATTCCCTGTCTCCTGCTTCAATGGAGGCCTGTGAAAGAGCTTCAGTGCCGCAGACGACACCACATGACCCCTGATCAGTCAGCAGGACTTTAATTATATCAGGAAGAGATTTAAGACCCAGTCCACCATTTTGGTCTAGGTTTGATTCAGTATAGAGAGAAATTAGAGATTGTAAATGCACTTTTTTTTGTAGCACTAAAGTAATTGTGTCTAGACATTCATTCAGTGTCAGCTAATGTGATCACATGCCGTTTGTCCACAAGCTCCTTCAGATGTTCACTAATAAACACCATTTAAAGCCATTCTTTTTGTTGGTGACGATGCTTAAAATGTAGTTTGTTGCATGTTTAAATTGATCGATTCGGGCTCTGAACATGTTTATGAACACACTAAACAAAAAAAATGTAAGATGTGACCACCCAGCTCCCTTAATGACGGTTCCGTGAGGATCAGAAGTCTGGTGCAAGACAAAGAGTGCTTTTAACCAAAGTGCATGTGAAAACAGGTTAAAGAGGCTGCTTATTAAAAAGAAAAACATATTTCACCATGGAAACCAAAATACACGAATGATCTTTGACTATGAACAGATTAGCACTTACATGTAATTCTGAAAGTTAGTTTTGTAGGGAAGTAATATTTATGCATATCCTAAAACGCAACAGCAGCATTGGTATTCAGACATTGGTATATTAGGTTTGTTGTTTTTTCGAATATGTAGCCTCTTGATACTTATCTACACATTCATAATCAGTGCAGTTGAGGCACAACAAGAAACCCACATATTTCACAAAACAAGAATCATCTACCTTATATGAAGAAGCATTTCTAGACACTACAATTCAAGGCTCCTTCACATATTGAAGTTAACTCAGAACAAACGTAAGAAGGTTTTCTTATCTTTACATATAAACACATATAAGCTCTTACCCGAAGCAGTAGTCTGTCAGGTTTCTCCTGATGTGTGAGTCTCACTGCAAACAAGGCAGAGTGAAAGAGGAAGGGAGGCACAAGGCCTTTAATTCACTTACCCAATCAGAAACTAAACTATGGCTGTGAGGATCCACGGTTCTCCCTCCCTCTTTTTTCCCTCTGTGATTGTTTTTGTCTGTCTTCCTGCCTGGGCGTGGCTGAACTACCGCCACACCTCCTCAGCGGCTGCTCGTCATCCTGATTGTGCTCACCTACACCTGCATATAAACCCGGTTCCCTCTTCCAGTACTCGCCAGTTCGTCGTCTAAACCAGGGGTTCCCAACCTTTTCTCCCAAACCCCCCCCCAAATAACTCCTGTTGGAAAATAAATAAAAATGTCACAAAAAAGTCTAAATATGATATTTGTCCTCAAATCATCTGAGGCCTGGCGCCCCCCCCTGCGATCTTTGGCGTACCCCCCAAGGGAGGCGCGCCCCCCAGGTTGGGAACCACTGGTCTCACCAGTGACCAACTGACCTGCTCCTCTGCCTGCCGCACCCAGCCACCTCCCTTCCTGCTGTGCTCCTTTGTGTTCCTTCGCTCCCCTGGTTCAGCCTGCTCTCTCGGCCACCCCATATCCTGGATGCTGACCTCCGCTCCAGCTCTTAGTATATTCCCTGGCCCTGGCTTTTTGGATTCCCTTATCCCGTTTTTTCAGATTACATCTCTCCTGCTCTGTCCCCTGCTGCAGCCTAACCCCCAGACCCTGCCTGTTTGGAAATAAACCTTTTTTGTTCAACATAACTTCAGTCTCCGTTCCTAGTGTTCACTCCAGTAGCTTTTTGAGTGCTTAACAGTGGCAGGGGACTAACCCCACATGAAGCAACATTAACCCATCTTGGTTTTCCCACTGCTTCACTGTGCTGATCTTTTACCACCTGAAATATTACAAAATTCTAGCTGTGGTCTTATGTTAGTGTTGCATTAAACAAAAACAAAAAAATAGTGTTCTCAAAGGATGATAATTGATAATATGTCAATAACCGACTCAAAATTGAGCTTTGAAGCAAATTGCAAAGCTGTGTGCAACAACGGGAACCAGCATTTATTTAATTTTAGGAAACAAGAGGTGGAAGAAGTACTCGGATCATTAACTTAAGTAAAAGTAGCAACACTACAGTCTAAAAAAACTCAGTTATAAGTAATAGTCCTGTATTAAAAACTGTACTTAAGTAAAAGTAAACAAGTAAGCGAAATGTACTTTAAGTATCAAAAGTAAAAGCACTTATTATGCAGAATGGCCCAATTAGGCATCAAATATTTTAAATGATTATATTATAATTATTGATGCGTTCATTTGTGCGTCACTTCAATGTTCACTTCAGAGTAAACATGAGGTTGATTTGAATGACTTTATGTACAACTTGTTACAATTAACAAATTAGTTAGATTTTAATGTTGTATTAATAATCTAAATCTGCAAAGTAACCAACTAAACCTTTAATACAATGTAGTGGATTAAAATTAAATCCTATACAAATATTGTATATTATATTTGTGGAGTAAAAGTATCGAGTAGCATAATCTTAAAATATTAAAATAAGGTACAATTAGCAGCAACCATTGCACACATTAACAAGTTGTAGCAGCGTCAAACAGATGCTTTAGGAAGCAATGCCTATATATTTATTTATCAACTTGCTGATTTGTTCATGTTTGTATTAGTGGGTTTTAAAAGTGATGGATCACAGTGTACTTTTTAAAGATGTGTATGTTGTCGTGTTTAAAAATGTGTCTCACAATGCATCGTGTCTTTTACCTGCTGCAAACCAAATCTACCTGTGGGTACCAGAGGTTGCGCTAGACTTTTTCGCTGCCCGTCATTTTGACGGACAGGATCGTAAAACTTCCGTCAACATCCAGAAATACCCGTCGGCCTTTACACAACTCTGACGAGGGGGGGGGGTGGAGCATGCTCGTGAACTGTCAACGGAGGGGGGGGGAGGGACAGTTCACATGCGCCGTGTTATGCATGGCTGCTGCACCTCGCGGGAGCGTGCACAGCGTCAAGCCAAAACTCACAGACGTTTCAATGATTTGTACGGCACAGTTAGGTTTGGAAAGCCTCGCTGCCTGGAAACTTTAGCGCTGTTCCGAGTTTGTTCTAATCTGTCAAAATGACGGACTGCTTTCAGATTTGTCCGTCATTGTTAAAAAAAATCCGTCATAGACGGAAACTATTCGGTTAACGCGACCTCTGGTGGGTACAAATAGATAACTTGAATCTGATATAGTTTACAGGTTTGGTGCCAACATATTTGTCTTATGTGCTTTTGTTGGTGTTGGCTTAGTTCCAATCTCAATTTCCCGTACAGAAAGTGGAACAAATAAATCAGCCGAACTGGCCAATAGAATCATGATGATGAAAAGGGAACAAAGCAGTGAGCTGCGTATTAATCATACTTCTGCTAACGTGTACTGCGGGGAGTGTGGTGTAATGTTAGAAGGTTCACTAACTAGGTGTTTTCAGCATTTGGTCTCAAGCAGGCACGTGCTCAGAACAGTCTCATAATACACACATTCACACAGAAGGATTCACACTTGTATTTCATGATCCGCAAAAGGAGTCACACTTGTATTTCCGGATCCACACTTGTGTTTTTCAATGCACACACAAATGTGTTCCGTTTCATATAGCCTACATGTAAATAAAATCCAAATACAGAAAAAAGTTTTACAGATGTATTTTTGATCCTCACATATTTGTTTTCCGTTTAAATCCTCTGAACCTGCAACACAAACCGCTTTCTGTGCACGGATCGCTGTGCATTCGTGTGTGTTTTTTTTAAGACTCCGTAAATGCGTATATGAAGCGCTACGTCATGAACGCAAGAAATCATACCCTCATGGGGGCGCGCTCATGTGATTGGCTTAGAATGAAGGAGACATGACCACTGTGAGTGGTCGCATTTTCGAGAGCTCCCGCTTTGGCGGTTATTCCTCACGATTTTTTACATATTTCATCCTCCTGACAATATGGATTATGGACTCCTACCTCAACTCATCAATGAGGCAACATCACTTAGAGAAGGAGAGTAATGAAAGCGGGGATAAAATGAACCACAATGACTTGTACCTTCTCAACGGCTGGGAAAGGAAACACCTCGCTTTTGGAAGTGCAAGCATTCATGCATTATTAACTGCAAACCCGACGCGAAAGTACTTACCCCCGTCAGGCAAACTAGACCGAAGAAGTATGATCGTCTTGGTCTTATTGTTAGCGGGAGACATCCATCTGAATCCGGGCCCGGTGCAGACAAGAAGCCAGTCCTGCAGGCTCGAGGACCTAGCATCTCAATTAGCATCAGAACTAGCATCTCTTCCGCTGCAACAACAACTACGCGACGACAACAGAGACCGTGGAGACAGCGGAGACCAAGGAATAAACGGAGACTTCGAGATTCCCCCGGGGACGCCTCGGCAGACAGACACGCATGAGGCAGTGACGAGAGGAAGAGAACCGAGATCCGAGGGAACAAATATCCGCCATGTTGTTCGCCACCCTTCTAGCATATCAACGGCTAAAGCTACAACGGAGCCTCCCTCCTCCCCCCACCACCACCACCACCACCCCACCACGACAAGCCGGTTGCTGTAACGGACAAAGACAAATATCTGCAAGCTGACGACATTGTGCATTTAAGCAACAAAAATGGACTACATATTTTTCATCTGAACACTAACAGCCTGAGACACAAACTGGCTGAACTCAGGCAGCTATTCATGAACGGTAAGGCAAGCATATTATGCTTTTCTGAGACCAAATTGGACAATTCCATTACAGATTCAGAGATTGAAATTGAAGATTATCTTGTAGTGAGAAGGGACAGGAACGTGAATGGAGGTGGTGTCTGCATGTACATACATAAAGACACCAATTTCAAAAACCGAACTGACCTGCATCATGAAAATATTGAATCTGTGTGGGTTGAAATTATTTTTGACAATGCTAAATCTGTAATAGTCGGGACAATCTATAGACCACCGGAACAGAGTGACTTTTATGATACATTAGATGGGTGTTTGGCTGATGTGGGGGATGTAGAGACAATTATTATTGGAGACTGGAACACGGATATGCAACGTAAAGACACGTCCGTCTTCAAGTCCTTCAGTAGGATTTGTGATCTGCACGGCTTCAGCCAGCTAATCACCCAACCCAGACGGGTATGTGAAACAACACAAACTACCATTGATCTCATTCTGACCTCTGACAAGTCCAGGATCTCCAGTAAAGGGGTTATAGCTTGCGGTTTAAGTGATCATTATATGATATTCTGTACCCGCAAAAAGCTAAAACAAAGGGCCGGCTGTCACAAAACAGTCATATCTAGAGACCTCAAAAACTACTGTAGCAAGGCCTTTAACCTAGAACTGGAGAGCCTGGACTGGTCAGATGAGCTCAGTGGTACACAAGTTGAAGAAACATGGCTTGGTTTCAAAAACAAATTCTCTGCAATACTCAATGATTTGCCCCCCCCTAAGAACAACCAGGGTAAAAAATCGCGCTGAGCCGTGGATGCACTCCGGCATACTGACCGCCATGAAAACCAGAGACAAAAAATGCTCTGAGTTTCATAAAAGTCAGTCAATGCTTTCCAAAAGCACGAGCAGTGAACTCCAGGCCCACGTGACTGAACTCAAAATTGAAAGAAACAGACTAAGAAATGACGTAAGCTCCATGATCAAAACTGCCAAAAAGAATTTCATCAATGTCAAAACTGAGGAAAACAAAAATAAACCCCGTGAACTTTGGAAATTACTCAATAACCAGCTTGGCTGCAGTAAAAAACTCAAAACGAGATTTTCTAACTTAAACATAAAGACAGATAACAGGCTCATCACAGACAAACTGGATGTGGCCAAGTACTTGAACATTTTTTTCACAAACATAGCCACAACTCTTGTAAATAAATTACCCTCCCACTCAGGGCTTTTTGGAGTAGATCACATCATGACCTACTACAAAAACCTAGGGGTACGCAAAGATGATTTCAGTCTAGCAAGGGTAACAACAGCAGAGGTACTCATTAAACTGAGCGCCCTCCAACCTAACAAGGCCACTGGCCACGACAATATCCCCTCCA